CTGCTGTTCAGCGGATTTGTAAATGTTTTCATGTTTGTTGATTCTAAATGGTAAACTTTCCGCAACGCAGAGTTCCTGGGGATTTTATGCCGGTGAGAAATTGAACTGTTCAACTTTTGTACTGTACATTTTTATTGTAATATCGATTGGCGAATATTGCAGCGGCCGTACTACAGCAATTTTATTTACCATATTTTTGCTCATATTTTGTTCGTTGTTATTAGTGATACATGAAGTGTCACTTATAACAACGTATTTGTATTATTATAATTTGTATTATCATTATATTTGTATTATATTATTATATTAATAATTATTACAACGTATTCGTATTATTACAACGTGTAGTGTATTTTATTTGTTGTTATTAGTGACACCACGTATGATATGTGCAATCTGTAAAGGGAGTTTAGCTGCTTAATGACTTAATAGGGAACTACAGAGTGAGCGGATTATGTAAGGAGATTACGAAAGTAATTCTCGAATCTATCGTGGTATATTTGTTCTTAAATACGAGTTCCGTAGTGAACTGTTTCTCTAAAATATTGTGTTCAGTTTAAACAATAATACCATAAATTCAATTTGTTGAAATTCATCACTGTGATGGTACCATTTATGTAATTATCATAATTGCTGTTTGCTAAATTACATAATATTATAAAAATTATTATATTATATAATATATATTATAAAAATTGTAATATTATATATTATATAAATAATACTATATAATATTCAGACTATCCGCGTGTCCCCTTCTGAAAATGATTGGACGAGCTCCCGTGCAGCTCCAGCATAAGCTCGTTAATAATATCCCTGAAGATGTCCCGCAATATCCGATCGCTGTGAATAATAAAGTACGCGATTACTTTCCTTTCCCTTGAGCATGAAGCACTTTATGAAGCCTTAATCCCGGCATCAAGAACTTGCTTTAACTGTCTGAATTTAATCCACTGCATTAATACAACATGCTTTAGAACTGCATCATTTGAAAATGCTTTAACTATCTGAATTTAATATAAAGCATCGATACAACATGCTTTAGATATCTGAATTTAATATACAGCATCAATACAGTATGCTTTAGCTCTCTGAATTTAATCCCCGGCATCAATACAACATGCTTTAACTGTCCGAATTTAATATAAAATATCAATACAACATGCTTAAGCTATCTGAATTTAATCCACGGTATCAATACAACATGCTTTAGTTGTCTGAATTTAATATACAGCATCAATACAACATGCTTCAGCTATCTGTATTTTGATGGTAGATTTTATAAGCGATTTGATGGTGTGCGATCGAGCCGCAAAGAACGAAAGCTGTCCGCCCTGAGACATTTTCTCGAGACAACCCAAATGATGTGTAATAAAGCGCAAAAAGTTATAATTATGTGCTAAACAGAACGTGCAGTCTTTGGGGATTCTGGGTTTTAAAGTAAGTTTTGATACATTATTGTTGTTGGTATGTGACTACATGTAGCGTAAAATGAACCATTTAATGAATGAAAACGGCATTAATCATTCAATAATTTGGTTTGACCTATAGTTCCGTTCGTTTGTCCTTCATACGGTTTGGAAAAGTTCGCGTTAAACATTTTGTATTGTTAATGCCTGATTCAATTAATTATTGGTTCATTTATAATTATGTTCCAATTATTCTACTTTACTGATAACAATTCAGAAGAGAATAAATATGGATCAAGTTTCCAAAGTTTATGACCATAACCATTAATTTTCATTCTCTCGTTTTGCTGTCGTCTAAATTTGCATTTCTTTTCGAATTATAGATAGAAATATATAGAGTATATTTCTATTTATATTATAGATAAAAATATACTTTATATATTATATAGAAGAATATATAAATATTTATCTAGAAGTATAGAAATATATTTTTTACATTTTTCTTAATTACAGCCATATAAAAGTTGAACTGGCCATAATCCTAACAAAATTTAAGAGTCGCCCCAGCTTCTGGTAATTCAAATCAGAAGCTGCCGCGTCTGTAAATTTTCACTGGGTAACAAAATTTAGAGTCGCCCCAGCTTCTGGTAGTCCAAATCGGAAGCTGCCGCTTCTGTAAATTTTCACTCGGTACAAGCCACGGCTAAAAAAATTGCCTTAGTGTGTTACAGGACCTCAGCGACGTCATTACGGGACAAGTTTGACTCTAAGTTGGAATTAAAGCGGCGTAAGGTTTTTCGTGGTTGGATTACATGAATTTTTTCTGGCGATCTTGGTGTGGCAGGTTCCGACTTGTCTCAGACAATTCGCACTGAAGTGGATACGATGGGAAAAAGAACTATAGTTCTTTTTAGCGCATTTTCTCATTCATGGAAAAAATGCCCTATTGTGCTCGCCATGTCCGTCCGTCCGTCTGTCTGTCCGTCCGTGACTTCACGTTTCCGTCGACGAGAAAATGCGCTCTCTGTCACTCACTGCAGTGAGTACTGTGTTATATTTTTTTACTTACTATCCGTTCTTTTTTACTTACTATCCGTTCTTTTTTACTTACTACTTACTATTTTTTCCTTACTATCGTTCTAAAAAATAACGATAGCAAGAGCCATTTATGTCTAACAAGTATATATGAATTAAGGATAAATATATTTTTAATAGATAAAATCTCGATAATCGTCTCTTCTAATACGCACCTATTTTCTTTATCAAGTTGACACTCAATTTGAGCGTTTGTGTATTTCTATTACACATTTTAACTCTCCTACCCTTTCAGCTAATTTCCTATCCGAATGCAAAGTTTAATTGCAGATAAAAGTACGCAAAATATTCCTTCAATCGCTGAAAGATTTAATGTCTTTGAAATATGAAACTCAGCGTCTCTGATGCGTAAGATACCTATGTTTTTACCGGTACACTCGTCAGGTTCTACTTGGACTTGTCTGCAATAGAGCATAGTGAGTGATGAAGTCTACGGAGTTACATCCCAATATTTAAGTACCTATCTAAAGCCATTCTTGTATTTCCATTTCAAGAATGAATTCTGCTTAGAAACCCATAATTAATGGAAAATAATTTTTTTCGTTTGATTTGTACCTCATTTGATCTCTGGTCGTTCAATACATTTTGCCCAGAACTTAGGCATAGTCAACGACTACGTTTATATCAATATGAAGATGGAGAAGCAATATTAGTGTGCTTCAGTTGAGCTTATATAGGTCCTAAAACGTAAAGGCTCGAAATATCTTGCTATGGTTTGAACAAAACAAAAATGTCTTTTTACTTGAAGATGAGTACTCTTGATTTCATCATTAGTATTTATTTCAGGCTGCATTATTTTTAAATTGAAAGTTTGCAGAGAAAATTCGTATCAAGTTGCTTCCAGAAAAATTAACGTAAGATTTGATTTCGCTTTTTGTTGTATAGCTGAAATCAACGTTACGGAAGCGCAATTAAAACTCGACAGAAAATGAATATTACAAAGAATTTTCAGATTAATTATCAGTTTTTTGTTGCTTGTTATTTCTCGTCTTTGTTCGTAAACGTTGACCTTCATCCTAACCTGCTCTGAACCTTTTCACAAGATCATTTCAAGTTAATATGTTATTAAAATATACAAGAAATGATAAAACAAGTAAACACCTAACATTTTGATATCGTGATTTTTGAACATGTTATGAACAATTAAAACGTGACATATTTTTATGTTTTATTGTTTATTGTTGCTGCTGATTGATACTTATTCTTGCACAGATATTTTTTAGTAAATTTTGTGTCTATAACCTATAAATGGTAAACCTCTCTGACTTTCAAATAGGCAAAATTGTTGGTGCCCGTATGATAGGTGCTAGTGTGACAGAAACTTCCCGAATGCTTGACGTTTCTAAAGGTACTGTCCTCGATTACTGCAGACCTAAATGGACGCCTACAAAACTTAGATTCCACAAAGACTATCCACCGAGAGCTGCGCAGATCTGATTTCTATAGAAAACTTTTAATCGGAATTAGAATAATCAGAAAATTAGTTTTTTGCCGTGGAATGTGTATCCCTAGTTTAAAACTATTGTGTGTCGGCAGTCATTCCACCACCACCGACGGTCTATTCATTAGAAATTCAGCGAACCAATGATTTCTATTCATGGAAGAATCAACAGCCGTGACTATTTAGGAATTTTAGAGGACCAAGTTCATGATCAATCACTGTTTCTAGAGGGTAACGCCATCTTTCGATTTGATAATACCCCTATCCATACTGCTGAAATTGTTACAAAATATAACTCAGTACTCACTGCAGTGAGTGACAGAGAGCGCCTTTTCTCGTCGACGAAAACGTGAAGTCACGGACGGACGGACAGACGGACAGACAAACGGACTGCCGAGCACAATAGTGCATTTTTTCCATGAATGAGAAATGCTCTAAAAATGGCACGAGGAACATTGTAATGAAGTTGAGCATCTCATTTGGCCACCACAATCTCCAGACTCGAATATTATCGAGCATTTATTGTTAATTTTAGAGATGCAAGCAGAAGTCTATTCCCACCGCCATCGTCTTAAAAAGAACTGGAGGGAGTTTTAACTGAAGAATGGGTTCAAATTAATTTGGAAACAATTCACAATTTGTTTGAATATATTAATATATGAATAACCTACACCATACCATTATATATTCTGTGGATTTGTCAGGCGTTTCCTTTATTTTACCTAACCCCTGTATATAGTTGAGACTTTAATTTATTTAAGTCAATAATTAGAAGCATTTATTGTTGAAATATAAAGCGCTGAATCATTATCATAACTAACTCGCATATCCTGTATAGTTGACACTTTCATTTATTTAAAGCAATAATTAGAAACATTTATTGTTGAAATAGAAAGCGCTGAATCATTATCATAACTAACTCGCATACCCTGTACAGTTGACACTTGATTTAATGCAATAATTAGAAGCATTTATTGTTAGAATATAAAGCGCTAAATAACTTATAACTAACCGCTATATAATTATTTTAACTGACGTGTATTATCTCCGGTCAGGCGCAGCAGTCGTGGATGGGATGGCGATGCTGCAGCTCTACCTCCGACGCGACGTCAAGCAGCTCTACACACTCTACCTCGAGCTCTGCCTCTGGTCTGTACACGCTTACTCTACTTGGTTTTATCTCATGTAGTTTATCATTGGTTTTACCTCCTGCAGTTTATTAACTTTTTCACTGGTGTATTTAACCGGCATCAGTGTTTTGTGCACTTAATTAACTTTTGTTTACTGGTACATTAACCGGCATCAGTGTTTTGTACACTTAATTAACTTTGGTTCACTGATCCATCAATCTGCATCAGTGATGTTATATCTCTAGCCGGAGTTGAAGCTTCTAATATTCATTGATTCTAAAAACAGCTTTGCAATATAAAAAGATTTTATTTTAAATATTTGATTCATTTCAAGTTGACTATTTCGAAAATATTAACTTGAGAATCAGTATAGAGTTATGTTCTGCCAGAGTTTTCGGATACTCATTGTGGAAGATGCATTTACCTGTCACTCGATACCTGAAGTTTTGGACTAATTTCACAGTATTAGGACATAATGTTAACTCACGAATGAAGTTTTAATGCATCGTAACAGGTTTGTGCTTGCTTAATTTTGTCATGATGTGCAGTGAAATTGGAGGAATTTCTAAAAAAATTTTAAAGTTGATCCTCAAGAGCAAGTGTTCTTTGAAATTCATAGCCAGCATTAGTGCGTATGTTTGTTCTCTTGATTAATTTTATTTTTTATTTATTGTGTTTATATTTTATATTGTATATACATTTATATATAATTTTTACTTATTGTTGCGTGGTTATCGATATTTTTTCACATTTTGTTTCTTGGGTAAGTTGAGAAGTTATCGCGTATTTGGTTCTCGAAATTTCATCAATTTAAAATTAGTAATGATTTTTCAATTAGGCAAGTGAAAAGTTCGCTACAGTTATTCCCTGAAATGTGATAAATATGATTCGTTAAGAAATTTCTAAATTTTATAAATCTATTTCGATTTTCCATTTTTTAATACAAATAATAGTGTAGTGGCTTATACATAGATATTTCAATTTTGTGCTGGACGAATGAAGCTTTCGGTTGATCAAATAAATGCTAATATATGTCAAGCATCTAGTCTCATTAATGTTGGTTTATTGTATTTATTATTATTGTTTATTGGGGAGTGATTCAAATATTCTATAAATCTGTCCAAAATTCCTGATAGGACCGCCTTATAGACTTCATAGCACTATTTATTTTATAAGTATTTCCGTGTAGAACTGCATGCCTCACCATATATTTTAGAATATTTCAATTTCCCTTCCCTCTTAATATCAATAATCACCGAGTCTGGTTTTCCAGTCAGTTCTCCCACAAGAAAAAACTTTCAATGGTTTATAATTTTATTAAAGTAAACATTGTACAAACACTACCGCGAATATTGTTTATAGTACTTATGAATAAAATTTTGTGAAATAATTTGCGAATTAATTTGCAGGCTCAGTTTTAATACTTCGGTTTATTAAAACCTAATACGTTTTATCTAGCCGTTTGCTTCTCAAAACATCAATCTTTTGCCCTTAAAAATAAGTCAATAATAGTTTAAATATAAGCTGAGATACTCATCATGCGGACAAAACATGTAATTACTTAAATATTGACGAAATAATAACTGCTCGTTATATTTTAATGCTGTATATGTGCCCGTTACTTATATATCATTGGATATTATAGAACTAGTTTACTTGTGAGCTAAATATGATGAAAAGATAAATCTAAGTGCTGTCTAATGACAGCTAATTAATCGATCGTTTCTCATAACTCGAAGAAAAGCTAATATTTTCCGAACATTTACTAATTAATTAGTATTAGTAAATTAATTAATCGATGTAATTAAATTAGAAATGCAGGTCTAATTTGAATTAGGACATTACTGATAATATAAAATATAAAATTACGATTACTCGTATGAAAAAAAGTTTTTATCATTAATGCCTTCTGAAATGCAGTTACACTTATCTTAATAATCCGTGCAAATTATATTTGCAACTTTACTGCCTTGCATTGAAGTGATTCCATAAGTTTAAATCTGCCTTCCACTTCTCCTGAGACGTAACTTTATGTCGTGTCAGTCGTTGTTCATTTCCTTGTCATCAGAATCATGTCTCTTCTTTATCACTTTCCCTCGCATTAAATTAAGTGCTTTTTACTCACTATTAAACATTAAACGGATCTCTGTATTCTCTGGTTGCTGTACACTCAGAGGAAAAAATGGGTCATGATGTTCAAAATATAGTTACACATTCTGCATGTAGCATTGATACGCCTCTTTTGCCAGGTCATTTAATTTCATAATTGTGGCGATCGATAAAAAAATGTGTTATGTGTATAAGCGTTCAAATTATATTTATAATGGATTGTTCGTGCTCTTCATCTGTAGAGCGTTGCTCGAGTATCAAAATTTTAAAGCTTGGGACAGATTTTCCCAATGCAGGGGTGCAATAATTGCGCTTTACTTGTCATTAGAATGATAATTAAATTGAAGACAAGTCATGGGTATTTGTGCTGTATTCCTTATTGCTAACCTTTTACCTTGTATGAAGATTTATTAGCCACTTAATTCGGCGTTTTTAGCGAATATCCTCATTTATGGATTATGAAAAAAGATGCGCTATTGTGCTCGTCATGTCGGTCTGTCTGTCTGTCCGTCCGTCCGTGACTTCACGTCTACGTCGACGAGAAAATGCGCGCTATCTGTCACTCACTGCAGTGAGTATTGAGTTATATTTTTTAACCCTGAATTGTTTGTGTGCATGGAATCCGCACATGAACGAAGGAATTGACACCGATTTTGTACCCTTATGTGTTTTTTTTGTATCCTTATGTTCATGTCGTGGTCAGTTTTGTTTCATTATTGATCCTTCCTGACGACTCCTACGACTCGAGGTGTGGACGCTCTGCGGACCAAAAACTTCAGTTAACCACAGTCTGTCTCAATTTTCTTCTGAAATTTATTTCTTATTTTAGAGGGCAATAACTGTTGGACATCATTTTTGAACTTAGTTTAAAAAATTTGCATGAAATAGTTTTCTGATGAGTTTTCTCTGGGAAATAGTTGACTCAATTCAAGTGAAAATTGCTTGTAATATTATTTAACAACAGTACATATAATACTTTTAGATAAATGCTCTAGATACACTCACGAGTTTTTCTGAGTGGATTCATATACCAGTATTTCAAATTTAATTTAATTCAGTAATTCACCAACAATATACACAAGAACAATAATTATAAGAACAATAATAAAACAATACTCACGTGGAACTGCCTGACTCAGTGTCGGTCTCACTAGCGAGCTGCATCACAGCTTCCCGCTCCTCAATTTCTCTTTCTTGACGTACCCTGATCCTCATGACGTTGCTTGAGGCATCTGTCCTTCCTTTCCACGTGTCTGAACTGATCACCAGTCCTGCATGATCTTCCGATCCAAGAATCTTCGCTGACTCGCGATGATCTCGACACTTCTGAAGCCCATTATTGATATCTGATCTATTTCCATTTTGGTAGACAGCTTCATCGGTCTCCTTCTGTCGTTCCGATTTGATGAGATCTGAGCGACTTGCTGATCTCGAATAATCTCGGGATTTCAAAGGGTAATTCATTTGAATTCGATCATCATGTTCGTCATCAAGGTTGTTGCATTTGCGTAGCTCTGATTTAAGCGCCAACGCTAATTGCTTCCTCACGTCTTCGCTCCCGAGGGTCGCAGGTTCGGATCCATTCCGTTTCGAATTTAGCAGGTTACTGTAAATTGGTTCTTCATTGTGATTCATACCAATTAATTTTCCTGATTGCAGCGAGTCATGCGTGAGATTTTCATTACCGGGTTTTTCGAGCAATTTAATACTCGTCCTCATATTTTTATTACAGGTTAAATCTTGCTGTGAAACCTTGCTGACTGTCCCAGAGTGATAGTCGGTGACGTCGCTGCTGAGTTCTCTTTTATCGTGTTTTCTGTCGCTGTCGTCGCCAACCCAATTTCCGTCATAGTTTTTGATGGATTTTTGGCTCTTGCTCGAGTCACTTCCAAAGTTTTTCCTATTTTCACGGACTTGCCACAGGTCGTGCCTGCCATCACTTCTGCGATGACGGGAGTCGCTTTTTGGAGATGCATTTTGCGCGACGGGCTGGCGCTTCCCGAAAAAAATCACCGTAGTGCCCACCGAACGTATTTTTGCAAGCACCTCAGGGTCGATCCACTGCAAAATGACGCATGACTTGGAATCAAAATTTGGGAAGTGACAGTTCGTTATTATAAGTGAAGAAAAGCAACTTGTTTCGCGAGATGTTTTTAGCAAAAATATTAGGTCCCTTGCGTTGTTTTTATTGTGCCTTGATCATTTTTTATACAACCTTAACTTCCGATTTTCCCAATTTGCCGAGCGAATGTCTCATCCAAAAGCTAAATCAACGTTTCGAATATAGCACATTCAGACTTCCATTGCTGGAGACCTTACAGATCTTGAATAAAATGTGCGGTAAGTTGGGGATGAATTAAATTTCTCGACCAATTATTTGGCAATGTCACTGTGCTACTTTTAATTCTGGTTAAAGCACTCCAAATGAACTAATATATTAACAAAAAATTATTAACTAAAGTCATCACTCACCTTAACGCTATTGTCATCGAAATCCTCGACATTAGATTTCATTTGGAAGTCTGGCACGGTGCTCAAGAAACCATCGCTTTCACCAGCTTTGATGTTTTGTGCTCTCTTAGTCACGAGGTTTTTCGGAACCTTGCAGGGTTTAGAGGACGACACGGAGCTGTCATTACAGACACCGCTGTCGTCGCTGGTGTCAGACGAAACGCTTTCCACGTCTCCTCCGCCTTCTCTTGCATGTGTCTTGCTTGCGCTCGAGCTGTAACTGTAAATATCGGCGTTATAATATGAATATTTATAACATTTATACATTTTGGTCTACATTTTTTTTTACATATTTTTAATCGGTCTGAAACTGTAAATTTCGGCGTTAGAATAAGAATATTTATAACATTTGTGTACATTTCGGTCTAAAGTTTTTATATATATTTGTGTTTGGGCTGTAACTGTAAATCTTGGCGTTATAATATGAATATTTATAACATTTTGGTACAGTTTGGTCTAAAGTTTTTATATTTATATATGTGTTCGGGCTGTAACTGTAAATCTCGGCGTTATAATATGAATACTTATTAATAATCCGGGCAAATTATTTTTGCAACTTAACTGCCTTGCATTAAAGTGATTACAGAAGTTTAATTTTTGTACAGTTTGGTTTATTTTTTTATATTTATTTGTGCTTTGGCTGTAACTGTAAATCTCGACGTTAAAATATGAATATTTATAACATTTGTGCACATTATGGTTTGAAATATTACATTTACAAATATTTACAGTTTACACGAACAGTTTGGTTTTTATATTGATACGGCTTGGATGCACTGCATCACAATGCGATCACGATCATAAACCTATTAGTTGCAATTGAAATTAAATATATAAGCAACCCCTCATATTTGGCTTATAAGTGAAGTTTTACTTTGTTTATATGTATTTACATTGCTGCATGTTTAAATGCAGTTGTGTTTGTGCTGAAAATATGAAGCGATTGAATCAACTGAACGCTTTTGCGTTAATTTTTTGTCACTTATCGGTAAAATTAATTTCAATTGCCGATTAAAACTTCGGCACGGACTTCCGTCGGCCTCGAGGAAACTTTGTGACACGTCAGTATTAATTGTTTTATCTCACGAAATAAGCTGGAGAAAATAAGCAACTTATTAACGATTTTCTTGATGACGAAAAAAATGTCAATCGGGAGGATGTACATTCCATCAGAACCACTGTAAATTGAAAGAAGTTTAAGCCGAGAAGCTTTTTCTACGAAAACATGCCCTTCAGGTCAGACATTACTGGTTTAAGAATTTAAGCATATTATTTTCTAAACTCTTAAATATTTACAGTGACAGAATTACATTTATCTTTTACTGGCTTTTTCTTTCAATTTTAGATTTTTTAATAAGGAAATTAGGTTCATTTCAATTATCAATAAAACAGAGTAATATTTCCCCGTAAAGCCATAAAATATCATAATGGTATGGCGTGGAAAAAGCGCTTAATATATAATCATACCTTTCACTTTTACTTCTTATCCTCATTTCGCTGTTGAAGAATTTGTTTTGTGGGCGATGCTGCCTGACGTGGAAATCCCTAGGCTTGTCCTGCAAAGCTTTCTGTACGTTAAATCCTTTGGCCAAAACAGGCTTCCTTAAATGCACCGTTTTGCCGGCACTTGTCGTCACCGATTCTATGTGCTGGGATTTACGAGGGGCATCGTGGCTACCTTGTTTGAATTGCTTGAGCTTCTCCAAGATTTTGGAGTGTGCGAGGTACGAAGAAGGTCCAACGTTATCCGAGTGAGGCCAATTTTCCGACACCGAACTCTGCTTGAGCAGCGTGGCGCTCAGCTCCGACATGAATTCTTTCTTTGACACTGCGATGTTTGACGCCATCTTTGTGTTGCATTTTAGATCCTCTGTGCTTTGCGACGTTTTTGTTAAAGAATTCGACAAATTTTTAGCAGCATTTGGTTCAGAGTCCCCCTTGCACAATGTTGACATATGTGTGGGTGTCCCGAATTCTCCTCGGTTTGTCCGTATGTAATCGTAATCTTCGTTATCGTTTTCAATGTACCCTGTTGCTCGTGTAGCCATTCGTTTAATGTCTTCTGAACGCTTTTGGTACTCGGCGATCTCTGCGGTGATTCTCAATACGTGACACGGCAGTCTGTTCTCGACTTGTGGTGCTAGGTCATTCATTTGCAGGGATTTCAGCCAGGACTTGGGAGCCGTTGTTTTGTTCAGTTGTCTCCGAGGAATGGTTTGGCACGTTGCGTCTGACGTGCATATTTCCACGCTAGGATTTATGAGCGACGTTTGTGATGGACGTGAACAATTCCCTCGGAGAGTGCCTGCTGTTGAATATATAGGTTATTTTGCGATGAATATTTAGAGGATACAGAGAAAGAGCAACTAATAATTATTGAAATAATTGAATAATAATTTTTGTTCACAAGGCATATTTTGAAAAGCTCCTATTCAAGTGATATACGTATGGCTGTATTGTTGCAAGATATCATTGCTTATAGATTTCAAATTTTCCTTTGGTTAAACCCTTATTCTTCAAATGCAATCATTTATTTGGAACAGCTGAACTGCTTTTTCACCCCGCGATCCATCGTTCTGGTTTTGAAATCTTCGCTTTTTGTTGCATTGTTCAAGTTTAATGAAATGCATACATCCTGCGCTAATTGATAGTGCCTCTTTTTAATCAATACTGCATTTTAAATGTAAACCAATTAAGGGACTGATGGTGATTGTGGAACAAAGGGAACAAAGATATTTCGAATAAGCCAGCAGTGCCAGAGAATTAAGATGAAATTCGACGAATTGGCATGAGTATTAAAATTCAAAAAATGAAATTGAAAAATTATTATTGCATATACATTACAAATTGGTAAATACTAAAATTAGCATAGTCATCATTAGTAGTTGGTGTTCTAGCTTTGTCAATGCTTTCATTCAATTTTTATTTTACACTTAATTAACAGTCATCAAAGTTGCGAATTCAATATCGCTGGACGACTTCTCGTTCTCTCCATGCGAGACTTGATTTTATCATTTATCATCTAATTCCATGCAAATAGATTCTGATCTATTCTTTTGTCGTTAGTTTTTTCACGTATACGGGAAACTTGATTACCACGAATGCAACTCATTTGGACACAGACTCATTTTGTATAATTGGTTTTCCTACGTAAAAACGAATTATTATATTATTAGTACAATCCGTGCATGACTGCACGAAAAGTAATCGCCGATATCTGAAAATATAAAAGCTTAGTTGTTGATTTTAAGGGAACTTAAGAAATCATATGAAAAATAACAGCCGATACTTGAAATGGAAGTTTTGAAATAAAAAATATAGAAGTTTAGTTGTTGATTTTAAGTGAGCTTAAGAAATCATATGAAAAATAACCGCCGAAACTTGAAATGAAAATTTGAAATAGAAAATGTAAAAGTTTTGTCGTTCATTTTCAGTGAGCTTAGGAAATCATATGAAAAATAACCGCCGATATTTGAAATGGAAATTTCAAATAGAGTTTAGGAAATGGAAATTTCAAATAAAAGTTTAGTTGTTGATTTTTAAGTGAGCATAAGAAATCAAATTTATAATTTTTGGTGGATATTAGTGACGTTTGAGTCACCAATATCCATATCCAAATGCTTTTAGTGTGAAACTTACGAGCACTAACTGTCGAGCTTTCGAAATGACTCCGAAATTTTCCCACGTTGTCGCTGCTCATCGATCGAGGTTGCGAAGCTCCCTCAGAAACAATCGTTATCTTGTTCGTTGGTCGGACGAGCTTGTCGGCAACATGTTCTTCGTTGTTGACAAGTTTGTCCAACTTTTCGGTGACTTGTGTTCCGTGGTCGCCCAGCTCTGCCACATCGTCATCGGGTTCCAGTTTCTGGTTAAAAAATATTATAAGAATGAGAGCGAAAGTTCTGAAGTTTTGCCTTCATTGTGATGCGAAGAGCGATATAATTATACCTCTTTGTAAAAAATTTCAATTCAACTGCGTTTTTGTGTTCTTTTTTAAGTAGAAATTCGAACTTCATTATGCACACAGAGTAACAGTTTGCTTATGTAACCTCGCACGGCTTATGCGAGCAAAAAAATGTTACATTTGAATTATCAGTTTTTTTTCTGGTACGGTGCTACTGAAATATTTTGTGTGAGCACATTTGTGAAAGAAAATTTCTCAAATGAAAAGAAAGAACCACAAATTTCCTGGCCTGAACTTTGGTTAGGCAATTGCTTGACGAGCTTCTGGTTGCTCACGTTTCGCCTGTATTTGTTTCGTTCCTGCTTCTGCCTCGACTGCAAAAGTTTATCGTATTTTCTGCCGCTGAAATATCTCGCCAAACTTTTGGGCTTTAAGGGATTTCAACTTGTTTTTCTCGGCGCTTATATGTCCAGCTGAATCTGTTCTGTGTCTACGAATTTACTGCACGCTTAATTTTTTGATACAAAATAACCTTACGTCAAAAGTTTAAAATGAGTTTGTTCATATTTTATCTTCATTTTAATTAGATTGATGGAGACTCGACATCGGCTAGTCTTTTAAATGTCTCTTACGATAGGCAAATGACTACCGACATCCCATTGCATCGAACGTCATAAAACATTTCGAATTGAAGCGCAAAAGCATACCTATCAGCGAGCTCTTGATAGGTTTCAGCGAACTTCTGATGGGTTTCAGCCAGCTTCCAATAGGTTCCAGCAAGCTTCTGATAGGTTTCAGCGATCTTGTCATAGGTTTCAGCGAGCTTCTAATAAGTTTCAGCGAGCCTCTGATAGGTTTCAGCGAGCTTCTAATAGGTTTCAGCGATTTTCTTATAGGTTTCAGCGAGCTTCTAATAAGTTTCAGCGAGCTTGTCATAAGTTTCAGCGAGCTTCTAATAAGTTTCAGCGAGCCTCTGACATGTTTCAGCGAACTTCTAATAGATCTAAGCAAGCTTCAGTTCTTAAGGCGTTTTTCCATGCGATGCATTTTAGCGATCGCATTTGTCAGACGACATGCCATCCGTCGCGTAAAATTGGCGTCAGGCTGCACCGCATTCTCGTGGTGCACGATTCAGAGGCTCGTAAAGCGACCGACCGTACCATTTGGTGTCACATGGACGATGCAAGCAACTTTACCAGAACTATAAACCCTGTTCGGAGTCTCTCAGAAGCGACCTAAAAAGAAGGTCTTAACGATCACATTTGTCGGGGGTGTCCTAAGTTAAGCTTGCATTATTTAACTGCCATGAAAGGAGCCAGTTGCTCGTAATGCAATAAGCGCCTTATTCAGCACCGTTATAGTAATTCATTTTCTTTCACAACGATGGTGAGAGTCGCTGTCTTGTGATGCGGTATTTTTCTATCCAACATCACGCGAGTTTCGGATGTATCGCTGCATAGCGGAAATTTATCAATGATATGTTTTCTTTCGTTTGTCGAACATCCGACGAGCAATAAGAAAGCAGTTGAAATTTAACTTAAAAGACAAATTTATCAAGTCATTCAATGTAGAAATTATTATCTTATATCTTTCTTATATCATTATCTTTCCAGTTATATCTTTTAGCTTAATGCAGTTAAGTGAGCAATAACTAATTAAACGTCTCCCCGAATTAATAACATTCCAGTTATGTTTATTTATTAAATAATGTCTGAACAAACTTAGGCTCTATTGTCGTTTGCTCGTAAACTATTTGTAAAGTTGAAACAATATGCGCATTGAATAATTAAGCGTATCTTGAATTTTGTTAAGAAAAAATGAAAATTCAATCAATATTTCTTACCTCTTCTAGTCGCTCCTTATCGATAATGATTAGGTCGTCGTTCTGTAGAGCTTCCTTGTAACCATTCACAGCTGAGCCCTCAATCATGATTCCTAGCGTTGCCGGATGCTCGGTTATTTCTCTCTTGCATTCATCTGGGTCTTGATAAATTGGCTCATCACACTCGTGTGGATTTTTAATGTCATTTTCAGCAATATCCATTGAATCTTCTGCATTTCGTGTCTTTGTCTCCATGCCATCAGTTCTTAATGAGGTTTCGATTCCGTCAGTACTAACCGATACGTCAGCATTACTCACAGACGCTTCTTCAGTTCTCATCAGTTCCTGCTCACTTTTCGGCGATCTTTCGTTGAAGTTTTTCGCCGACGTTTCATTTTTGGGTGGCAAGTTGACGCATCCATCACTTGTTTCCTCTATATTCGGTCGAAGCACATTTTCTATAACGTCATACAAGGGCTCGTCATTTGTTTCTGGATTGCAATTTCCTGAAGAAATATCGTCATCCGAATCGTTACCCTGAACAATATCATTAGGTGTTGTGGCTCTGTTATTCTTATTTTTCAATAACGTATCGACATTTGACAATGACTCAAATTTGTTCTTTTTGAGTGTTCCTTCAGCGTGTTCGTTTTTTAGGGTTACTGTTTCATATTCATGAGAGTCGTATGAATTCTCACATTTTTGGTCTGGGTGCAGACCGTTTTCTGTTTCAGCTTCATGATTATCAGAAACCGTTGTTTTTCCGCCATCTCCGTTAGAACTAATTGGAAATCCGCAAGAACCTACAATTTTTTCATATTCACTAGCTGAACGATCATCAAAACTACCATCCTGAGGACATCCAATATTCGTGTGATTTCCTTGAAAACTACAAAGCACTTCTTTCGTCTCGCCTCCGAAATCCGGTGAACCTTTTTCGCGTTCATCTTGGTAACCACACGAATCGGTGTCAAGAGTATCTGCCTGGCCCTCTTTTGGAGCTTGCAAATGGCACAAGTGCTGCCTGCCTTCATAAGCATACAGAGAATCGTCTTTGTTTCGCGAAATGGCATCTAAAGCTGCATCTTCTTGTCCCGTGACGTTGCCATAGCCTTCTTCTTCAATTTCGCTAGCAGAAAGCTCGCATTTTGTCGAACTTTGGTCGGGAGAACCCGAAGCGGAGATATGCTTGAAAATTCCCTTACTATTTTGCTCTTCAAGATTCTGCTTTCTCACAACTCCACTGGAATCCTTCTTGTCCGTAGTTTTGTGAGATAATTTTAACCTTTCTTTATTGTTCGGTCTATTAGGAGAGGAAAAAATCACTTTGTTCTTGGGAATGTAATCAGACTCGTTACCATTGCATTTGTTTATCATTTTATTGCCTTTCTGATCATTCACGTCGTGTGCTTCAGTTGCGAAATTGACATCCATCGTGGCGTATATTTCTTCTGGTTGGCAATGTTTCTCTTCGCCTGCACAATGAGAAACGCCCCCGTTTTCATTATCTTCGTAGTCTGTTTGCTTAGGGGCCAGCGTGCGGCGTTGCAAGATCTTTCTTCTGCTTACCATAGATGGCATAGTTGAAGGATCCCTCGCTTCCCACTCATCCCAATCTTGTAAACTGTAACGGAAAATTGAAACCATTAGGCAAAATTGGGTTTCGCTTGTGAATTGCACCATAGAAACATAAAGTTATAAATATAATCGTAAACTGCAAAAAGCTAGACAAAATTGTGTATGTTTCGCCTATTGATTGCACCATAGGAATATAAAATTATGTCTTGCAAACTGCAAAAAAATTAATCTTGCATTAATCGTATATTACCAAAATCAATACCTTATGTTTGACCGATCTCTTTTTTATATCACTCACTGTCGAGTACATAGTACACGGCATTGTTATAAGAAACAGAATAATCACCGGATCAAATTTTCACTAGAATTAGGCCTTTTTAAATTGAAGTTCTGGTGATGAATCAGGAACCGAGAAGGTGTCGAATCAGCCCCTGGAATTGAAGTGTTCAAGTGCCCATGGCTGTAGTTTTTACGAGTTAGCTTGTGCTGCGTTCGCTTCAAGCTTCTAAGAATTCACGCCCTATTTTTTATCGCTCTTTTATGAATGATCGAACGTCCATGTAGAGTTTGTTCCCACCAGTTTTAGAGAGCAAGTTGGAACTATTTACTGGTTTATTTTTCAGTACCGTGAAAGCCTTGTGATTGTAATAAATGTCCTTGTGTATTATACGGGCCAGTTTCTTCGGCATCGATTTGAAATTATTCAAGTTGCTTCGATAACACCCAATTTCAGCTCTAAAATTTATTGAAATAATAGCTAAATTTACGGACTACTTGTTCGTTCGGCGAATTGTTGAATTTCCGTGCGATGTGTTATTTTGGGATAAGTTGTGCATACTCATTAACATAAACCTTGTCGTTTGGTTAGTATCCTTTGATGAAGATGTATACGTTCCTTGTTACGTTTTTAAGCTTACAAAGGTAGTATTAGAAAATGCATTTCAAAAAGAATGCATACAGTAGGTTACCATTACCTTACACTATGAATTAAAGAAAATAAATTCATTATACTGTCCTAATATTGAAATTTATTATTCTGGGCTAAGAATAATTATTAATAAGAAATATTAATTATATCCTAAGAATTTATTATTCTTTCTCCAAAATCAGCAGAGAACGAACCTAGCACTTATAAGCCATTCTGCCATCTCAAACTGGGTCAGGATGACCCACACAATGTCATAAAGTTCATAGTAATTTGGACAAAGTCTCGTTCATTTCTTTGAGTGTGAGGCAGGCTGTCCCCACAACGTCATAATTAATTCCTTTAAGACGCAACGACCTTCTCGATTCAGATCCTAGCTTTAGAACGAGGTACGCTTATTCTTTTATTCGGCTGCTCCTATTCTTCTATTTAAATATCTCTTCTTCAATTAACTTATACTTTCTTGTCCTTCAAGCTGTGCCTCTTCTGCCATTAAATTTGGTCTCTATTTTCTATTTAACTTCTTCTTTTATTATATTCTTACACTAAACGGTCATCTGAGTAGCGCTCTTGTGCGTTGCGTTGTCGTCAACCAGCGATTTAACATACATTTCTTCTTTTGATAATGGTTTCTCTGATGCAATGTCGTCAAATTGGGTGTACTGAAATTTTGTGTACTCGGATTAGCTTTCCTTAGAATGGGAGTCCTCAGATTTTGTATCGCCAGATTGGGTGTCCTCTGTAACCATCTTGGTAGGAACCGCAAGGCTGTGGTCTTTGATTGTCTTCCGTTGTCTCCTTAGCTTACGGTCATGTTTCTATCTTCTGCGTCCCTGCTTTAGCGCTCTCTCCAAAAAAAATTCCATTCTTGTCTAATCCTAAATAGGCGCGGTAGGCAGATCATCTAATTCCTAAAGATCGTGCAAAACTGCCCAGTCTCTTGAAGGATTTCTGCGATCTTGCCCCGGGAGATCGATATAAGATTCATATGCCTTATCACAGACATTTAAATATTATGATCTTCAGAGATGCAATATTTTTTTCAGACGAAATCTACTTTACCGCAAATCTATCGGTTATGGTTTTATTGGCATAGCCACCTCTTTGGCCACGAGTTGGCCAAATAACTACGAAACCTTCCATCTTTTCAAATGTGTACGTTAAAGTTTCGATTCGAAATTAGTGAATAATAATGTTTTCAGACAGGATTAAAGTTGCTAGGATCCACCCAAACCACCGTACGCTCTTACTATATGTTCAACACCAAGTATACTTGATTAAAAATTAATATTGAAATCAAGCAATTGACTTTAGTGGAAGCACAGTTTCATCAGAAGAATCTGCATGTTTGTTAGTTCATCTTTGCGTTGAAGATAGATGCATTTAATTTTTCTCCCAAAAAAATCCCCTTCAATTTTTTAAAACTTAATTTTTTTAATGAAATGATTTCCATTTAAATTTTTTACGTGTTCGACAGATTTCGGTCTTCCATCTTCTCGGCTTGCTTTAATTTCCGTCTAATTCAATAATATTTTTCACTCGAGCCGTGCGAATTCTGGAATGTTTCTAAGATTGTCATCGGATTTAAAAACCTAACGCGGAATTAGGCGGGGTCTTCGCGTTTGATCTCAACAGCTTTAATGCATCAACGTTCAAATAAATACTAATATCTTACTTCATCATCGTCATCCGTACTTTTATTGAAGTTAAGTCGAATTTGTATTGTCTTGCGTTGTCATCAATTTCTCTAGTTTAAATGCGTTGCAGTACAAAACCGCATACTTCCTGAATTTCACTCCAGTTTTACCAAATTTATTTTTTATGTCTTGATAACTTGCGCCTCTTCGTAGGTTTTGCTGCGTCTCTTATTTAGTCATCATATTTAGCTTCTAAATTCTAGCAAGAATTGCAAATAGAATTTGTCTTTTTTGGGGGCTTTCTCAGGAATGCACCTCATTTAAAAATCTAGTATTTATTCTTGTATTTATATAACGATTAATATTTCTTATTTACTTTCTTGGCATTTCTTGATTTCATGTCTTAATTTTCAGTATTTATTAGCTACGTTGTATGTCATAGATTTTGAGTTCGATTAATCCGAATTTGCATTAAGCGTTCCCAAGTCGAGGAATGTCGCGTACCGAGCTATCGGAGATGCAAAAAAAACCGCCCCCTCGGAAACTCTAAAAATTATTCTACCCTAGCCTCCTTGAGAGCCCTCGTTTGCTTCTTCCCAAAGCGCTTTATGTTGGCCACAAATTCTTTTCTGTCCTAAAAGAAAAACAATGAAAAACAGCCGCAGCAATAAAGGCCCTGGTGACATAGAAGCTCGGTATTTTCAAGCAAAGTGTCTTTTTCGATTTCCTTCCCCGTATAAATGCAAACTTTAGTATTTTTTAAACTCAGTGTTACCCGCATAAAATTACTCTAAAACGCTTCTGATGATATTTAGTAATGTCGCTATGTTAGAATGGCCAATAATTTGCCAGATATTATTCTTCTAAATTATTTTCGAAAAATGCACGCACTTTTTTATGTGCTCGCGACTAAAAAACACTCAGTAAAAAAACATGTGTTGAATAGTCGCCTATCCTCAGGTGCTGTTCGACTGCCCATTTGTCATGCATTTTATGTGCTAAACTTCTTTCCCTTCGCCAAAGACCGGTAAAAATTATCAGTTTTTCTAAACTCTTTGCTTTTAAATTTCTCATTTTACACAGCTGTTTTATTTTGGATTCCGGCGCCGCGGAGCGAAGCTCATATCCAATTCCGCGCCGTGCACATAATGAGCTCGTAAAGGGCCTCTCTGATCTCCGGGCCTGTTTGTGTGCCTCACAGCTTCTGCTGTGGGCCTCACAGCTCCATGCTGTGTGCCTCACAGCTCCATGCTGTGGGCCTCACAGCTCCATGCTGTGTGCCTCACAGCTCCATGCTGTGTGCCTCACAGCTCCATGCTGTGTGCCTCACAGCTCCATGCTGTGTGCCTCGCTGCTGCAGCATTCATATGCTTCACATATTTATCGTTTATCTTAACAATCGTAAAATTGAAGTCTCACTATTGCACCATTTTTGCCTTACAGCAGCAGCGTTAAGTTGGCTAGCCTCACCGATGCTTTGCATACATATACAAAGCATATGCGCATCTTGATAACCTTACTTATCGCAATATACAAGGCATGTTTTTTAAGTAAAGAGCGTTTTGGAATTAAAAAAAAGACGTGCGAAGATATCACAATTATTTTATTTATACATGAAAGCCTGTACTTGAATCTACTTTTCTACATAACTTCCGTGAATATCGAGGCACTTGTCTTAACGTGGCACCAGTTTTTGAATACCCTCCTGACAAAATTCTGCCGCCTAACTCGTCAGGAAGAAGAAATTTCAGGTGTTTTTCAGCAGAATTTCACCTCCATTGCAGTAGAATTCAGAATTTCGGCAGAATTTCACCTACAAGTCAGGCGGCAGAATTTTATCCGGATGGTATACAAAAACTGGTGCCACGTTAAGACAAGTGCCTAAATATTCACGGAAATTATGTAGAAAAGTAGATTAGGGTGCAGGCTTTCATATATAAATAAAATTATCGCGATTTATTTGCACGTCTTTTTTTAATTCAAAAGCGGTCCTTACTTAAAAAATCATGCTTCGTATATACGTATATATTGTTATCATAACAACCATATACTTCTCGCAAGAACTTCATGACTGCTGTGCATGTATAGTTATCATAACAACCACTGCAGTCTTGTATAGCAGCGGTAGTGTTGATATCATCTATGCAGCAAGCCACATCTTGAGGAGGCGGTTCATATCACATGTGTGGCTAATGAATTGTAGGCTACGCACGTGTGGCTAATGAATTGTTTGCTACACACGTGTGGTAAATGAATTGTATGCTACACACGTGTGGTAAATGATTTGTTTGCTACACACGTGTGGTAAATGAATTGTTTGCTACACACGTGTGGCTAATGAATTGTATGCTACACACGTGTGGTAAATGAATTGTTTGCTACACACGTGTGGCAAATGAATTGTATGCTATACATGTGTGGCTAATGAATTGTATGCTACACACGTGTGGCTAATGAAATGTATGCTATACATGTGTGGCAAATGAATTGTATGCTATACATGTGTGGCAAATGAATTGTATGCTACACACGTGTGGCTAATGAATTGTATGCTACACACGTGTGGTAAATGAATTGTTTGCTACACACGTGTGGCAAATGAATTGTATGCAACACATGTGTGGCAAATGAATTGTTTGCTGCACACGCGAGGCAAAACGTATGTGGCAAACAATTGTTTGTGTGGCAAACAACTGTTTATGTAGCAATTGAATTGTTTGCCACAGGTGTCTTGCCAAACGTGTGGTAAATTGTTGCCACACATGACAGGCCATCAAAGCTCAGTGCCGTTGCTCATACCGCGAAGTCTTTGTCTTCCATTGATCGCGCTCGTTAATTATTCCTTTGTGTCCTGCCCTACTGAAACCTGCGAATTATCATTATTTTTTGTTGTGATATTGATGAATGCGGAGCATGTATGCCCTCTTTCTAGTCAGTAATGTTGAAGTTAAGTTATGTGCGATATGTGATTTTGAATCACCGGATTGTTTGAAGACATTGTAAGAGCTTCCGTGACATTTTTATATCAGTACGTAATGTTGAATTTAAGTTATGTGCGATATGTGATTTTGTATCACCGGAATGTATGAAAACATTGTAAGAGCTTCTGTAACATTTTTATGTTAGTACGTGAACGAAAGTACTAGCTAAGTCGTGTGCTATGTGTGATTTTGTATCACCGGAATGTATGAAAACATTGTAAGAGCTTCTGTAACATTTTTATGTTAGTACGTGAACGAAAGTACTAGCTAAGTCGTGTGCTATGTGTGATTTTGTATCACCGGAATGTATAAAGACATTGTAAGAGCTTCCGTGACATTTTATTCCGGTGATGTTGAGAGAGTGATGGGCGCACGTATGTGTGATGTAGTTTACTTTAATGAGGAAGTTAGAGAATAATTATTTCTTTATAGTATACCTGTTGATGACACTATACTCGATACCTGTTAATTATTTTGTCTGTTCATTCGTCAGAGGCTCAGAGCCTTCGTTTAGTTTTTTTAGACAAAAGTAAAATGATATCACAACATCTGTTGGCAATACAGACTTTTCTTTGTTCCGAAAATATGCGATAACTTCGTTTTTCCTTAACTAAAAACAAATTAACTAAAATATTTGATAGTAAGTTATAAAGTACCGTATTGGTTTATGAAGCGCGTACCATTTTATTTTGTTAGCACATGGGCACTGGATTTTATTTCTGTATTTCTGTACACTTAAGAATTTAAGTAGCACGAAGTGGAAGAAGCTAATTTATTCTTTGGTATCTGCAACGTTTGCCACTATTTTGTTGTAGTATTTTATATCAGTATTTTATACAAGTACTTTATACCAGTATTTTATAAAAGTATTTTATACCAGTATTTTGTACCAATACCGGTATTTATACCAATATTTTATACCAGTATTTGATACCAGAATTTTATACCAGTGTTTTATACCAGAATTTTATACCAGTGGTATCTTATACCAGTATTTTAAACCTGTATTCTATAAAAATATTTTATACCAGCATTTTATACCCGTATTTTATACCGGTATTTTATAAAAGTATTTTATCGGTATACCAGCTTAAGGGTATTTCACTGATCGAGCTCTCGATCCTCTCTCTTTTATAGCAGCTGCGTTAGTCGTGACGGCGATGACTCGGGCGTTTTACGGTCTTCAGTAATCATACTTCTCAGGCGAACTTCCTCTACGCGACTTATTTTCTGTATTATACTTTCATCTAATCAAATTCTAATGGAACTACCGTAAAATGACCTAATGGACACGTTTTCTTATCAGTGCGGCTCAGAATTATAATGGCCGCGGTTTATGGGTTAAAGTTGTCAAACTTCACGCAGCTGCTAAAGTGCTGATGATGCTATTAAATTTATTTGAGGAGTTTTTGAAGGGTTTTATTTTTAAAGTTAAATCTTTTCCTCGAGAAGAAATTATCGGATTAAACCTTGAGCTTACATGACAACTTTTATTGTGTTACTCATGAGCTTTTCACGCGTGAGTGGTTACTGCATACGATCGCCTTCGATCCACGGCATTTTTCTTTAGTAGATTTGACAATTTTTTTATCCGAGAATTACTTCTCTATAGATAAGTGACATAATTTCGTATTATTGAAGACGAAGACTCTTGACAAATTCTTTATCCAGGAATTACTTCTCTAGATAAGTGACATAAATTCAAATTATTGAAGACAAAGACTCTTAACACATTTTTTATCCGAGAACTATTGATTACTTCTCATAGATAAGTGACATAATTTCTTTTTCTGAATCACAACTCAGAATCCTGCATTTCGCTCCATTTATTCCCCGACTCACTTGCGATACGTGCGACAAACTGAAAATTTCCAGGTATTTCTACGCTCATTTTTTCTCGACTTCCCCACCAGTGATAAGCGTCCATTTAAACACGCAAGTGACCCATATTCATGCAGCAATAAGCAGTTGGCTTTATCAGCTGCTAGATCTTACCTGGGTTCTATGATGAGAGTCTCGCACGATACAGAACGTTCGCTGGTCATCTTCATCCTTCTGGTGTTCGTGGCGACATGTGCACCGCGCGTGATGTCGTCGCTTCTGTTGCCCTTTACGTCGTCTCTATCTTTCGGCTTCCTACTTTTGGAACTGCCTTGTCGGAGCTTCCTAACACTTTTCATGAAGGTGGTCGTCAAACTTGGGTTATTTTCACTATTATTTGAGATAACTGATCTGTTACCGTTCGAATTTATTATTGTGCGCTCATTAAGTTTTGGGTTCTCTGTTTCGGTTGCGTTTTCGCTTTGTTCTGGGGTTTCGTTGTTGTTAACTTCACTGTTCGCTTTATTGTTTTCTTCTGTACTGACGTTGTAATTATATTCGGTTTTTAATTCGTTTCTACACTTGTTGTTATTAACATCTGGAAAGTTCTTGTATTCGGTTAGGGATTTGCTCGCACTTTCTTCGTTATCTTTAATGCATTTCCCGTTATTTATAAAACTAGAAATGGGATTTTGATTAATTACGTTTACTAAATTACTCAGTTTGTAATTCACACAATCACTCTTACAATCATCACCATCGCAAATCACTGGTTTTGATACTTCGGAAGCCACAAAGTCTTTACTGAATTCTTTTGTAAGTTCATTACTGTCTATGTTGGTGGCACACTCGATAATGTTACCCAACTTTTCACCACAGATTTTTTGTTTTCGCTGCCTTAACCGAATGTTTTCTATGTTCTCGTAAACAGGATCTTCAGTTATTTCTTGCACTTTATCCGTGCTGGTACTTGTGTATTCTTCGTTTTTAGCTTGGATGTTGTTTCTTGTCACTCTGAGTTCGACAATGAGTTGATTTTCAGGGGACCCGTTCGAGGGCTGTGGCCCTCTCTGCTCTCCCTCGTCTGTACGAATAAACTGAGACAATTAATGTGGTATTTTAAGAGGCTAATTAAGGTAAGGTAATATTTCAAGAGGTCACCTACAGATAACTTGTCTAATTTCACTCAAATTCATCTTTTGTGCTAATTTATCTAATAAAAAAAATTAAAACTTAAAAATTAGAGTTGAAATTTAAATTTTCTTCCATTATTGAAGTATAACTGAGATTTGATTATAACGAGTTACTTAAGACTATTTTCCATCTTTGAGGTAAAATTGTCAAGTTACGCGGAATGATTACTTTTACGTTTTCGTACGGAAAGTGACTGGATTTCGGAAAGATATCACAAGAACGACTGAATAATTATGATCTTGTATAAAAGGTTTTAATAATAATTGTTTTTTTTATTAATAATTTAATTAGGTGCATAAAAGCGCAGAATGTTTTCAGGTTGAAGCAAGCTGTGCATTCTATTTGTTGTCTTTAACATCTATCGTAAAAGCCTTACGACTAGAGCAGGTAAATATTCTCGCAATAAAACGACGATATAGTGTCTTGAAGTTAAGTGGCTAGGAAATTGAGGAAGGAAATCTCATTATTGTTTAAGTGCAACCTGCTCGCTCCAATTTTGTATGAACAAAAATATTTAATTTATAATGAAGGTAATGGATCGATGTTGGGATTTAAGAAAATTATGCAACCTGTCGGGACTGAATACGCCAGTAAAATTGAGTTTGAAAAGCGGCATGAATTGAAACAAAATCTTATTCGTTTGGTGTGATTGAAGCTACATGTAAACTTTTCTGACCAATTTCGACCAAAGCTTGTCTATACACTCTCGATACTAGAAGCAAAAACATCGATTGTTAGTCTTTTTTAAGACGTGAATGAACGACGACTTACCTGGCGACTGCGTGTCCTGTCCAATAATTTCTTCCTCTTCTTCGGGAATTTTTGGTAACCTGAAACGACGCCTGGGGCGACTCTGTCCTACCATAATCTGCTCTCTGCCTGCCGCATGCCGGCTCTGATGCTGCAGTGCTGGGGCCTGTGTCGGAATAAACCTTCATTTTAGTGTTGACCGCGTCTGCTAATAAGGATTCACGGTAAAAGTCTTGCTGGTAATAGGATCAAGTTTTACGAGGTGCGACAGTAAATCCCTTGCAACGGTCGGCTGAAAACAAGTTCCGAATTGAGCTTCAGCATCTCTCATTAAAACTCTTGACTTCTACGATTTTATCCACTATAATTGAACGGGGAATCGTGGATAAGGGGAGCGTCTCTCCACAAAATTATCTCCTAAACTAGATGACCGATATTACTGAAGCTCCGTCCCCATGTGTAAATCACTGAAGGAAAATCATTTTGCTCCTATGAATTTTCGGAAAAAAAATAAAAGAAAGCGTGAAATGCATGGCAAACTGCAAAAATGGGAGTCCATTGTAAAGTTATCTCCTACTTCAATGTACGTGCTACGACATCGAGATGCATATCATTCTATTTATAAAGAGAATATCTATCGACTCTCGAAGCCCTTTTTTCTATTTTATTTTTTATACGACTTTTTCCGTTTTCCCCCAGTTTTTTCAATATATAATTTCAACCATGTACAAATCATTAAAAATTGCTTCTACGTAGAGTCGCTAGAAATGGTCCTTACAAATTTTATATCATAACATAACAAAACATAACATAGTGATCTCGGCGCTGAAGTGTATAGGCCTGATGTGGCGCCTGTCGCCGATTCTTTCCTTTTCGTGCCTTGTTCACTGAAGATCTAATATCGTTTCATTTGACCGGATCTTTTCATGACTGACGATAGTTTCAAGTAGCTACTAGACTTCCACCGGGTTCGATATGGTTCTAGGCATTTCAAATCTGAACATATATTTTTCCATAGCTTTATCTAGTCTGTTCTTGAACGCGTTCATACTTGGAGCGCCAACGATGTCATCGGAAGCTCCTTGTCGACATAAACTCCGAGATCTTTTTCCACACTAGACTTTTCAATCATTACTCTCTCGTTGCAACCATGTCTTCTCATACTGTAATCTTGCTGTTCATTGTTCTTCCCGAGGTGAAGTACTTTACACTTGTCAGCATTAAACCGCAGCTGCCACCGCGTATCAGCCCAGTTAACTAAATTGTCAAGATCACATTTCTCAATACTTTAGCTTGAAAATCATAGTGGACATTTTTAAACTTGACTTTTCTGAGCATTTTAATTGTTCAGGGGAAATTGATTGAAAATAGAATAAATTTTAAAATATTGCTTGATACTATAGATCGACCCAGCTTTCCCATTGCCCATTACCCGTGTTGAGGGTACTTTTACTCGTCTTTAGACTTATTCTTATCCGGTTGAACGCGAATAATAAGCTATAAATGAGATTTTTCTGCTATATTTATTTATATAAATGGGTCATTTTATAAAAGTCCAAAACGGCCTTGCGCAAAAAGTATTGCTTGTACATCCATGGTATTTGCTTCGTTGTATGTATCTCGTTTGAAGCTTTAAAATGAGTGCAAACACATTACAATAATGATATCTAAATACAGATTCAACTAAATACATCTATGTAAACAGCAATTATCGAGAATAATTATCTCTAAATACTGATTCAATTGAATACATCTTTATAAACAATGGTTATAAAATGTTCATTTTATGAAAGTTCAAAACGGCCTCATGAAAAAAGCATGACGGCTATTTCATTGGAGTTTCTTGTTGCCGATTTGTAATAGTTCTCCCCCGCAAAATGAGATGAAACACACAGAAAAAATAATTTCTTTCATTTTTATTGGAGACGGTCCCCATACGTTGTTTCGTTTACAAGGTGCTCTCCTTTTGTATACTGAGTACATTTTCATCAGTTGTACCGCTTTTTTATTTCAGAAGAAATTATCCCATCATTTGCATCGTGGTGTCATTTTGATCTAAGTACAACTACTACTTTATTGCCATATTTTTACTAAAACTAGTGTATCACTTTCTCTTGATTCTCTGATTAAACTATTGCATCGTTGTCATGTTATTGAACCTTAGCTTCAATTGCAACATTATAAGGCCATCATTCAAATCGGCTAGCACTCGTTCACGCCTGGATTCGAGGTCAGGAAAAAACCAAACGCTTTTCGGAATCACTCTTTCTTTCTCTCTTTGCTCTCGCTGTAACGCTGCTACGGTCGATGCTGCTAAAGATATCCTTTCAAGACTGCCGATATGCCGTGTTACTGACAAGCGCTTCTATTGGCAGATCATTCGGAGCAACGTGTACCATTGAACCTTTTCATCGTACAGATCTCTTAGTTCGTAATGTCTTAGAAGAATAATGTTCTTGAGACGCTTAGAAACAATTTGCCTGACTGAACGACGGCTTACCTGGCGACTTATTGTTCCACACAGCCGCAGTTGGCTAGTTGTTTCATATATTTGTGTTTCATAAGCTACAATTATTTTGGTAAAATATAGCCCAAAAAATATAACACTTCCACTTTCTTACAACGATGCTGGTCCATTATTTTGATTCATGTGTCTGCTAGTCGGTGTGGCTACTGTAATACGAACGCTCAGCATGCAAACCTTTCTGAATTTTCTTTTTAGACGCCGGCTGTGTCATCCTTTTTAGCGCATTTTCTCATTTATGGAAAAAAAGTGCTATTGTGCTCGCCATGCCCATCTGTCTGTCCGTGACTTCACGTTTTCGTCGACGAGAAAATGCGCTCTCTGTCACTCACTGCAGTGAGTACTGAGTTACACTTTTTATCTAGACTTCATGCATTATTGTGATATCAGTGACGCGTTCTTGACTATAGACTCTTGAATTACGCCTATTCCTCCTCCAATTTGCGGATCCCTTTCCGGCACTTAACTTGGAATATTCTTGACTGACTGTCGCGGTCGGCAATGCCGGACCCGAAATCGTTTGTCTTCGGAGCTGTCAGACAGCCTCCGGCCTCGATGTTCGTTATGTTGAATGCATGGGAAATACGTGCTTTGCCTGGCCAAAACGCTTCGTGCCGTCCTTTATAAGAACAGAGTATGAATGCTGCCGTATTCACTGCATTTAATTCCGTTTTAGCATGTAACCAACACAAGATATTTAATCCTATCTTAATTGGACTGGTGCCTTGCCTTGCCAAAACGCTTCGTGCCGTTCTTTATAAGAACAGAGTATGAATGCTGCCGTATTGACTGCATTTAATTCCGTCTTAGCATGTAACCAACATAAGATATTTGATCCTATCTTAATTGGTGTGTGTACTCTAGAATCAACGGCAGAAAATAACCACAAAAGGATCGGAATAATTATGGGCTAGGAATAGGTAAAAATCAAGCTTATGAGAATACTGAAGAAATACTATAAAGGGGCGTTAACCACTTTACCATTTTATAAATTTTGCTTATTGAATATCAAGGCTTTCGCTACAGGAAATAGTATGCTTGCTAGGAATAGCTATACATTAATATGGAGAATAAGTTGCTATTTAGCATTCAAAATTTGACTATTTTCAAGTGTAAAACGTGTGTTGACTTCAATAAACGATGGAGAGTAACGGTAATCGGTACCTCTTCCACTGAGCACGTAATTTAAATCATTTTCGTATTTAAAACAATTTTCGTAATATAAACCATTTTCGTAATTAAAACCATTTTCGTCATTTAAACCATTTTCGTCATTTAAACAATTTTCGCAATATAAACCATTTTCGTAATTCAAACCATTTTCGTAATTCAAACTATTTTCGTATTTAAAGCGTTTTCGTAATTCAAAATATTTTCGTAATTTAAAATATTTTCGTTATTCAAAACATTTTCGTTACTCAAAACATTTTCGCAATTTAAAATATTTTCGTTATTTAAAACATTTTCGTAATTCAAACCATTTTCGTAATTCAGACCATCAATGCAAATCAAGTTCTACTAGCAGCATATACTCTCAGAGAAATAGGTGGAATTTTTGTCCAAATAATGATGCCATCGCGTGGGTCAAACTGACGCCGTTTTGCCCGGCAAAAAAGCGTATCAGTGCTACTCCCGCTATCTGCTCTAGGTAAGGAAGTATGTCACTATTCGGACAAGATAAACAATTGATTTTTATGGGTGTATATTAAACGTTTATTCATCCATTATATTCGTCATTATAATTTTGAAAACACAGAAAATTTCGTTCAATGTAGGAAAGCCCACAAAAAAATTCAAAAATTAGGTTAATCTTCCTATTTTTTGTGCAGTTTTTCATCTGCTTTTTCATTCGGCTATGTGAATTTTCGATTATGTAAAATAATGCATTGCAGTTAATTGACTCATCATATTCAGGTAATAATATTTACAGAGTGACATATGTTATCAAAGCATGGAACTTAACGATCTACTGTTGACTTCAGTTCAACATAACGATCTACTGTACGGTACACAGCAGTTGAACTTAACGATCTACTGTTCACAGCACTTGAACTTAACGATCTACTGTTGACGGCAGTTCAACTTAACGATCTATTGTTGACAACAACATCATCAATCCCTGATTAATATTAAAGCAAAATTCCTTAACGCTGAGTGTGAAACGCTCAAAAAAATCAATGGGTAATATTTTCCGAATAGTGACTCACTTCTTATGCACAGAACCAATTGAGAGCGAACGTAGCACCGATATGCCGTTTGGTCGGGCCAAACTGTGTCAAGATGACCCACACCAGAGCAAAAATGCACCCCTTTTGCGAAATTCTTTCTTAAAAAATTTAATTCCTTCTTAGAAAAATAAAAGTTTGAAAATTATTTCTGAAAAAAAAAACATTTTGGAAAAGTAATATTTAAGTATAATCGACCGTACAGTCATTAAATTATCAACAATGTTGAGTCATTGGTAAAACACAACGTTGCCGAGACGTTGTATCCTATATAACGACGTTGATATAGACGAAAGTATATAGACGTTGTATATACTCTCGTTTATAATTCATGGCGAGACTCGCCTGCTGTGGAACAATTCCTAACTTTGCTGCTGCTGCTCCACATTCAGGCCTTAGCCACGCACAGCCAGGCTA